CACAAAAGGAACACACTGTTGGAGATCCACTGTCTGTTAGGGGCACTTGAAAGTCTCTATCGTTCATCTTGTCAACAATTGTTCTTTCTGATGTTTCTGACAAAGCAAATAATGTTACTCCCTCCGGTTCCTTTCATCTTGTCTTGTCTCTGTCTGTTAACTCCTGGTGGCCCTTGTTTTCCATCCTCAATGTTCCCATAGAACGGATCTGCTAATATCTGCGCCTGTTCCTCAACAAAGCTAACTAGATCTTGGAAAGTTACCTTTCTGACCCTTTTTCCTGAATGGTAAACACAAGGCTACGCTATTTGTCCCGCATCTTGTAAAGTATCTTGGAAAAGATGATTTTCATGTTTTGGGGTGTTCAAGATCCCTCAATGTCTGCCATACTGTTGAAACACTCTACCAAATACAATGAATATCTGTTCAGGTCATCTCTGTCTTCAGCTTTATATGCGGCCATTGTTGAGCTTTCTCTGTGTGTATGCTGTAGCTACTTTTAAACTTGTTTCCAAACTTTGTCTGAAGCAGCTGTTTAGCTCTCATGTAGCCTCGCTCGGGATCCATGAGAATAACTTCGCACCAATTGCCCTGGCATCCCACCAGTAAACTGTTTCAGATAATATAGTGTATCTTTGAAACTATCTGTCTTACTTTCTATGCAATGTTTAAATGCCATGATGAATGTCATATTCCAAAGCATCTCCTCTGAACACAGGAACTTTAGGTTCTGGTAATGTAGCTAATATCTGACTCTCAGTGATCATCTTCATGGTGGCATTTTCTGTATTCTGTGGAACTTCTTCAAACACTTGTGTCTGATGCATATTTACGTACAAAGGTATGACTATTGAGACATGGTGCTGAAGGAGGAATAGAATTACCACTCTTAAACATGTTAAACTGCTTGTTGCGATTAATTTTACTCAGATTGTCTGTAATCTCCAATTCTTCAAGTGTATCGACCTGAGCATTAGCAACTGCCAATTCTGTCTCCATCTCTAACATTTCTTTCTTCTGTTTTAGACATTGTTCTTCCTCTTCCAAGACGTGTCTCTGTTAAAGACACTGGGCACGTGCCTTTAACTCTGCCAGTTTGACTACCATCTTTATTCTTGCAGATGACACACTACTAACTGAATCTTTAGAATGCAGTCTTGAGGATTTCCTGGCCTCAGACTTCTGTGACCGAGCACTACATGCTACACTATCCTTTTCAACATGTCCAAGGCTCCACAAATTGTCTTCAATCCACACTTAAATCTCAGCCCAAAACTTACGAAACATACTGTCCTTTTAAACAAACCATGACTGAACATCTGCATCAACAAATTCTGGTGTAAACATGTCACAATATGAATCATATGACTGAAGAAAAGCACGATATTTATCCTTCCATCTAGCATAATGTTCCTGCATATATGACACTTCAGCATTACTCTTCAACAAATCTTCAATAACACACTTTTGTTACAAAGTTTAGACTTTTCTTCCTTTAATATCTGCATGTTATACAAACGTCCATTCTCTGACAAAGTCCTTGATCTGATTGACACATTGTTTTCCTTACATTCAATGTTACTTTCTAGTGGTTCAAAACACATTTCGACGACATGTTGACACAACAACATCAACTGACACTGTGAGCCCTCAACTTGCAATCTAACATTGCAGGTTACACAACACCAGATGTTTTCCCATAGAGTTCTGTAGTAACGTTTTATTTTCTAAAAAATCATCTAGGCTGCCAGCAGCGATTCCATGTACTCATGGGTACAGTCTGGCCTTAAAACTACATTCTACCATGAATCAAGAAAATACTAGATTCTGATTGGTTGTTCGGAAAAATCAGACGGCATCAATTGTGGATTGACGCTCATCTGATTGTAAGGCCGCTTCACCGCGCATTGACAAATCTTACTGTGAGAACTACTTCCGTTTGACCACAATGATGGCGGATCATAACAACAACTCCATGGATTTTGACGCTGAGTTTCGAATATTCCACATAGGCAATTGGAAATTTTGGATTAAAATGCGTTTGATTTCATTGCGCCTCACTGCGCACGTATAGAACACTGCCGCATTACTTCAGCTTGACCACCAACATGACTAATATCAACACAACAGACGTGATGGAAATGCTGATAAAACATTTATTTAAACACGAAAAATACAATTATATGATCCCCCCAACACACACACACACAATTATGAAGGAACCTCGATCATATTACCTTCTATTATAAAATATTCAAACTCAATTACAATACATCCCCAAACATAAACAAAACAATATCTAACATATAAATCAGAAAGCCTTGTAAAAATACATCCCTATCTATACAAAATATGCAGCAAAACATTAGTAAACATTTACCTACCTGGTAAATGGTATATTTAATTCCGTTTAGAATGGGAAATTTGCAAGATAGATCTAACGGTCTGGCGAAACACCACATCTATGCCACCCATAGTCATACTCCATCTTATCCCGTTGCATCGCTCACAAAATAATTCTGCTCTCTGCCAGCTTCCCCGCAAGGTTGTCACTGTTATGTTCATCTACTTTGAAAACGCTTGGACACAGTCCAGTCCCAAACGATGAAAACAAAGTTCCAAGGAATCACAAGTTAGTCGCATGTACACCAAGCAGAAACACTGTCACTCTTTGTCGCATGCCGGGGTGGAGGCAGTACGTGAAATCATAATCGGCCAGTCATAAAAAATCAACAGTCTTTGATGAGTTACAGGTCGTAGGTCGATCAGGAAGGGATCTATTCTTCGATTCTGCAGGGTTCAGGTTCGACAGTCAGTCAAAGTATTGTCCACTGTCACTTCAAATTTCAACCTTTCGCAAAATGTAAACACTGGCTCGGCCGCCATTTCAAACTGTTGCGTAAGTGTCTACTTTGAAGAAAATAAGTAGGTCAGACGATTCCATTATAGTGTGGCCAGGGGGTACAGTTTCACGGCACACAAAACAATAGGCTGGTTTTAGTCGTGTGGGGTTGGGATGAAAAACAACAAGATCTCGGGTATTACATAATTGCATTGAATAAACAGTAGTTTGATTTCTTTGGACAGAATATTGTTATGTTGTAATGTTAAGAAAATACGAACGGCACCTACCGCTCCTTCACAGACGAGTTCAATTCGCCTCTCGTCCCATGCCGGATTACGCAGTGTCTTCCGTGGAGCGAGGAAGTTCGATTTTAAATGTGTCATGGTAGAATGGAGATAAACCTGGTGTGTTTGAGGTCGATTACACTGAATTGATGGCGACTAAATATTTCAATTGAAACCTCACGCTACGCGTTCGGTTCCAATTGAAAATTTAGTCGCCATCAATTCAGTAAAGCATGTCTCTGATTTTCAAACACACTAGGGTTATCTCCTAAATGAAACACAAATTCCGGCTAACTTATCCCGCTAAGGAAGCTGAACCCATCAACCCAAGTTCAACACCAAATGTCACCTACTGGAAATTATCTGTACACACAATAAGCATAAGTCATGTTGATAAAAATGACAGCAGTAAATACGAAAAATTGTGGCCAGTTTTAATTACTGGGTGGATGTGCTTTAAAAACATAAAAATATTACACTATTTCATGCAATCACAGCTGTTAAATATCTCTGTCTCTTCAAGTGTTTACATACGGTTCTCTCTCAGGGAGCACGTGTTTCTCATTTAGTGTTGTGGAACCTGTATGCCTCTGTTACCAGGTTATCTCCTCTTTTACAGTCATGTGACTTGCACTAGATCACATGATTTTAATCTATATATAACCAAAATATTTGACCGCAACACAAATATTTCATAGCTGGCATGTAGAGGTAATTTCCCAAACTGGTGCATCAGTGCTAAGAATGATGTCCAATGCAATTCCTTATTGTGACTTGTACTATATGCGTTCCCGATTACGTTCAGGTGAACTGACGACCCTTTGCATGTGTTCCTGATGGGTGCCGATGGGTGAGACGGCACACGCTCATCTTTTTCGCGAACACCTGATATCATCATTATGTAATTGTGATTCATAAATACAGGTGTTTTTTTTATTATGTTTTACAGATTAATGATGAAAATGCAGCAGAGCGGGTTCGGGGTGATCCTGGCACAGTCAGGCTCGTGAGGCTCATCATCAGCTCAGGGCCCTCGCCCCCTACACGCAGCCCAGACAGCGAATGAGACTTCTCCCAGGAAACACTGCCTAGTCGAACCCACCAAGAACTTTCCGGAGAATATGAAGGCTCCCCAACACTGCATCCTTCTGCATTACACAGAGTGTCAGAAGGGCTGTGCTCCCTGGTGGAGAACCGGGCACTCTCCTGATCTGTGCCAAGAGATCAGGAGGTACCAAACCAACGGCACCGAGAACAATGGGAAGCCTGACGACAGTGTACTTGGGATGCAAGCGAGACATTTCAAAGGGGAGGTCCGCATATTTATCATGCTTTTCCTGAATCTTGTCAATCACATTGCTGTCAAAGGGACAGAAAATTCAATGATATAAACAAATTCATTGGATTTATCAAAAGGACAAGATCTGGTTTGTTGGCAGGAATTCTTCTGAGGCTGTCACTAGGCGCACCGAGTTATTGTGGCTTTCTCATCCTAACGAAGTGCCCATTCACAACTTGGTGGACTAGGACACATAGTCACAGTACTTTATCCAAGTTCACTGCACGTTGCACGTTGCTATACCCTGAACTAGGTGTTTGCACGTATTCACGTGGCCATCATCTGGTCATATACCAACGGATTCGTGGGTTCTTTCAAGTGCACCGGATTGTGTACTGTACACTAGGGGTTGTGACAACACTGAAAGAGTCTGCACCTAAAGTTGACTACAAGGTTTTTCCACCCGTCACAGGTGGGCTCGATCCCGACACTTCAACATCGCTGGATCACTAGCCTGGCGCCTTAGCCAGCTCGCCCACCGCGCCCCGCGTTCCTTATATAGTCGAAATTGTTCACTAACATCCTATCGTGAGGGATGAAGAGAGGGGTTTAATTATTGTTATTTTACAAAACTACAAGAGTGCATACATAGTGATACATATGAATTGCCTTATATGTTGTGATAATGTATTACACACACAGTAATAATATACAGCAAGACATAGCCACATACTAATGCTAATGCTAATGCTCTTGCTTTTCCTATGGATTGCACAAGGTTGCAACAGCTATTCTTTGTTGTTCTTGAACCTGTGTTCGCTTCGTATGCTCTAATTCTGTCCCCAGGAGTCTGAAAATGAATGCAATAAGTCGGACTGTTAAATATCCGATAACTGCAATCTCATGTACAAACTGTAATCCTAACTCGTCGTTGTCCCTCGATAAAATGTACAATAGTGAATTGGTTCGGATATACACGTAACAACGTCTTACACAAAATACATGACAAAAATGTAATACAGCAGTATGCATGTGTACCAACAAAACATGTAACTTAGCTTATAAAGACTTAAACAGAAAATTGTTATGAAATTAAAATACACATTCATAAAGACATCTCCACTACTTCAAGGTCGTAATTTACAACCTGCACGTACATATTGTCGGTAGCTTGTGAAATGTGAAATGTACACAATTACTGTTTAGCTTTCAGGTGCTTATAGACACATTAGTTTTGACGGCTTTATGCCACAAACCTCCACTGCGCAAATAGGAACAATGGTAATTATTATGTTCTCTTTGGATGTGGTATCTGCAGCAGGACAGAACACATGACTTGCCATGGGACTGTCTGTCACTTACGTCACTCCTACAAGACAATTATATTCAACACCTCACAGGATTTCTGGCTAAGGGGCATGAATGGCGGAACCGTACACAACCAGATATTGGAGTAAGTGAGTGAGTTGAGTTTTACACAGCAGCTTTTAGCAATATTACAGCAATATCACGGCGGGGGACACCAGAAATGGGTTTCACATATTGTACCCAAGTGGCGAATCGAAACCGGATCTTCGGCGTGACGAGCAACCACTAGTGGCAATCCCACCGCCCCAACCAGGTATTGTAACATAACATCCGTCCACGGCGTCCAGCGATACGTCCAATTCTGTTTCCAGGTGACCTTCATAGACTGGGACAGTATTCTGGGCTGGTTTTAAATGGACGCCGCTGATGATCGTGCAAGGGTCCATAAGCGTCCAGGCGAATGCCTTTAGCGACGCCTGCTTTACTCATCAGTTTGGGGCGATAGTGAGTGAGGATGGTCAAGTGTTGGAGAATACAACAAATTTGATGGTACCTGTGGTCATATGCGTGGGAGTAGTTTCAGCGTTGATATCGACATCTTATAATCACATATTATATTTTTGTCATTTCTATCAATATCTTAGAATGTGATGTGTCGGTTCTCAGTCTAAGTAAACTTAAGCTCAGTATTATTCGTTACACTGCTATACTGAGTCTAACAAAGGCCTAGTAGAAGGTCGCGTCAGCTAACCTTTCGGACTGACCAATCAGTGTAGGTTCAATATGCACCATATTTGGTTCCTGGAAAATGTCAATCGTCGCTTAAGAAAGAAACATAGAACTATCACAAACAATGTGCACCGATATTACCTGATCCGGTGTCTCCTCACATTCGCCGGACAAGGGAGCTCCTGCTGAAACTACATAAATATGCATGAGAAAAAAATGCTGACATCGTTAATGTGTACAGGACTTGCCAAATTGAAATTTGATAACTCAACAGCACTTAAAGCAGTCAATTTATACGGGTAACTACATAGCAGGTAGGTAGGTACATGTATATTAGCACTGATCGAGCTATCGAACCAATACAAATACCTCGATGGTCATACATTGTCAACTTTATGCCATTTAAAGAATTCTTATATTTTTAAGTCTTGTGAGCCTTTTGTTTTCAAGGCGTAAAAATACGTTAATATTTGCTTCAGTGAGCAGAATTACATATCCAACAGAAACCAAAGAGAAAAACATATCCTTACCTCGATCTGGTTCATTTGATTGGCTGAAATGAAATACCGCAAGTGGCAAATGTGTATAAACTCTATGTCTTAGACTATAACAGGATTCTACCAAATTTTAATATTATTTAGAATATACTGTTTGTCGCAACTCAGCAATGTGCTTCGATCTATGCAAATGGGATGTCATGCATCGGTGTCATGCATCGGTTATCTCCCTTTGTTTGACAGATAGTTGTTAGACAGCCAGCTATTAGAAAGTGAAGTAGGGCGTTAGGGTAGAAAACACCCACGAGTGGAGTGGGACAGTCATGCTAGCTAAAGTGACAGTAGACTTTGCACCTTGATGACGCACATGACAAAAGATAACACTTCCATGTGTAGGATATAGCTAGTATTCTGGACTATCACCTCAGAAGGTTGTGACAATGATTAGGGTTGGTAGCATGTTCATTAAGCTTTCTCATGCTATGTTTGATTCACTGACATATTGTCAACAACTTTTACAACTGATTTTGGTGAGCATCCTATATAAATTGTTTGGGTCAAAATGATACCGATGAATCACAATCTAACTCAAAATCGGTTCATGATTGAACATTCCTTTCAACACGGAATGTAATGAAACCACCGGACAGGCTGTGGAAAACAGTTTCAATAACGTTTGTCTCCAAAATTAAAGTTACTTAACAAACCATTACCACGTGCTTCCCGCCCTTGAGGCTGTTTCTGCATCAGTTCACTGTTACTTTATCCTCATAAAACTTCACAGGGAAAATCACAACAAAAGTGATGATAGTTTGTTAAGTAACTTATATTTTGAGAGTCATGAGACAGTAGTACCAAGGTCCAAGAATATAGAGAGAAAAAACTCCACTACAAATCTGAGGTTATCCTTGCCACATCGCAGAACTGAAATAGGGCACAGGACCATGCTTGCGATGCTCAAGCGGCACCAAGCCATAAGAGAACATGTCATAAAACAGACAACAGAATATTGAGACTACAAGACCAACTACGTCATAGACAGGGTCCTTTCCTCCAGTCTGTAATGCATCCCATCTTTATCCGATTTGGTTAAAAAACGTTTGTTTATTAAAAACAACTCACCAGAAATAGTTTAGTGAAGTCCATAATTTCTTTTCATAGCCGTATACAATGAAGATGATGAAGATGACCAGGTACATCGAGTTTACATTGAAGCAGATCCAGTATACCGCCAATATGCCACCTGAATAGAGACAATGAAATGTAAATGTATCATTGTTACTCAAAGGCAAAGTTGATAGAATATTCGCATATCTAAAATCTAACATAATATTCATTAAATAAAACAGCAAACATCAGGAACGATGTGCTCATAAATATAAACAAAAAAAAAAAAAAACAGCCCGTAAAGCAACCAGATACGATGATTTACAGACTGTCTGAACTGAATAAATAAATTCGGGTTTCCTTCTGACACTTACAACTTTTGACTTCTGACACATACACAACACATTAGTATGAATAATCTTAGACTCAAGATTATACCTTCACCGTATGTGCATTCTGTTATATCTCTATCCTCGTATGTGCATTCTGTTTGAACTATATCTTATTCGAAAATGCGTTCGGGTCATAAATTTTCTCATGTTATAAGAATTGTTCCGAGACCTCCAATATTGTTTTAAGAACGCGTTTTCTGACTTCCACCGTTGTGACTCATTATGCACAATGTGTCTTGCCTTTATATTTTATGTTGTCAAACATACCATTGTTAATATGAACAACGAGCCCGATTTTTATTCATATGGACAAACATCAGATAACTTTCATAATGGTTTGGAAATGTTTTCCTCATTTAAAAATTAAGCATATCCTCTGGGTAAAACGTGTCCTTATCAGTATATCTTTCTTTCATAAGAAGCTGAACCCGCTAGAGTTTGTGTCCATAGTAGATACGTATCATATATCAGACACAACACACCCTGTTTTACCTAAAACTTTCATCCATTTTTATTTAATGAGGAGAATGATGAAACTATGATATGGTAACAATGTTACAAATATCATACGACAAATCAATTTATTGTTTTAGTGACACAACATTATCAATTGGCCAAATTGAAATGTGTAGAAGCGTCATATAGAGTAACTTAAATATCTGCACTCACCTATATGCACGTAATGTGCTATACATGTATATGTGCTTTCTTCAGTCGTCTAAACGATTATATTTAACCTGACTTTGTCCTTGCTTATGGACCCGTGATGATCCGAGTTAGAATTGATTTTCAGTAACCCATGCTTGTTGGAAATGGTGACTAACGGGATCAGGTGGTCAGGCTCGCTGACTTGGTTGACATATGTCATCGTATCCCAATATGTAGATCGATGATAATCCTATTGATCACTAGATTTATCAGACTCGATTATTTACAGACCGCCGCTATATACATGTAGCTATAATTTTGCTGAGTGGGGCGTTAAACAACAATCAAACCAACCAACCTTGCTTAGGGGAACTGGGTGTTGCGGACGTAGTGTCGGGTGAAGATGACGTTAAGCACGAGCATGTTTCAAAGTGACAATTCTTTGGACAATTGGCATTGCAAGTTTTGTTTACATGCAGTGTTAGCAGAACAATATCCCTCGCTGCAGCCATGACAAGCCCCAGTTGATCTTTCACAAGCTTCCCCTAAACATATCGTCGAACACGGAACTGAACAGTTGTCACCGTAGAAGCCATCTGTACACATTCTGCAGAGACCCGTTTGGATATCACAGTCAAACGAGCAGTTTCCAATGCACTTCTGACTACACGTGCTTCCATAATACCCTCCAGGCATTCAGAGCACTGATTGCATTTAATGCAATTGTTGCCAAATTTCTCCGTGCAAGGATTCGCGTTCAAACCTGTAGAAAGATGACATTATCTGAGACTGTTGTATATTTCTTTATATTCTCAGAAAGGGAGATTTGTTTAGGATATTCGGGCTCAATATAAACCAGAGCTCAAAAGAAACCATACACCACAAATTATTACATAAAGATTCACAAAAATAAAAATGAAATGATAAACCATACATGTAACACGACGGTATCAAAAAAGCCTACGCGACACGTGAGCAATACAGTAGTCAAAAGAACATAAAAATGTGCTACGTTTGAGGCAAATTGTAAGAGAGAGAGAGTTGTTGTCGGAATGGCCCAACAAGGAGCTAACCACACCGTCATTGCCAGAACCTGTGGCTGCACCCGAGCAACTGTCATCAGACTGATGCAACAACTAAAACATACAGGCAATACGTCAGACAGGCCAAGGTGTTGTCGACCACGTGTGACAACGTTCCAGTGATGATCATCACATACGGACAATTCATCTGAGAAATCGTTTTGTAACGGTGACGTCAACGGCATCAACGGCACTAGAAACCGTACCGGCGACTAAGAGAACATGGTTTTCGAAAACGTCGACACTACCGTGGAGTGCATCTGACTCTTCAAAACCGACGTCGTCCATTGACATGGGCCTGGCGAGCTCGATGTTAGCAGATGCGTGATTTACGACGTGTGATGTTCACCGTTCACCGTTCAAGTTTGGTCAAACAAGGTGTTTACTTTCTTTTCTGCACTAGTTCATTTACATTGAATCATCGAAGAACGGCTTTGCGGATTATGGAACTACATATGTAATTATGGGACATGAAACTACAGATAACACACACATACATACGGTTCGTTTCGTTAGTGTTCTTGTAAACTCCTTACCTTCTTTGTTACTACCATGTGTCTCCCCAATGCATCAGTCATTTTCAGTTTCCTCGGCGTTACACAACTTTTTACACACGTTGAAAACGGATATGGACATCGCTGTAAACACTCAGGTCCACAGAAACCATCCCTGCATTGTCCCACACAATCTCCCGTGTATCTGTCACAGTCCAGACACGGACGTTTACATCTAGTACTACATGTTAACCCTCCACCCAAACACACACCCCTCCGTACAGTTGACGGCTTGACCATTGGCCAGTAGGGCACACCGTCCATTCAAACAGTTTCCTCGGCAGCTCCGTCTACAGTCAGACCCATAGAAGCCGCTGACACAGTCAGTACATTCCTCGAGGACACTGGTCTGCGCTGGAGCAGTAGTTCACACAGCCTTCCTTCTTCAAGTGTCGTGGAGTTGTACTGTCACCTTCAACATAAGAGTGAGTGAGTTAGTTGGGTCATACACCGCTTTTAGCAATATTACAGCAATATCACGGCGGGGACATCAGAATGGGCTCCACACATTGTACCAACGTAGTCAATCGAAACCGGATCTTCGGCGTGACGAGCTAACGCTTTAACCACTCGGCCCTTCATCATGACAGGTCAGCTACATCACAATACCACAGGATCAATGCTATTGGTCTTTTCCCTTTGAATTGTGTTTAATTATAAATAATGTACTTCCAGACAGAAGTGAAGGTGGCCCAAGTCAATACACCTGATAGTGTGAGCCTTGGTTTGAAAATGTCAATGTATAGACATGAAAGCCATTGTCATAGTTTACACAAAGGAAATGCATGAAAGAAACAATTGAACTAACAATTGATAATTGGAGAAGTACTTACAGTGACCTTTTCATTGGCATATGTTTAAGGAAAGGAAAAGCGTAGAAACAATGGATCGAGTACCACATATATGGTATTGTAGTGATAATAGTAAAGGATACATTCACGAAGATTGAATTATAAACACGTTTCAACTGTACAGATATTGTGTCTTACCATGGCGTATCAGAAGAAACATGAACACAGCAAAGCAACATGTTGCTGGTAAAACTCCACGGTGCCGATCCCGACTCATTTTGTCTGGAGAAAAGAGATAACGGTATCATGTCTTCAGCCATCAAACCATGTAAACGTCTCGACTGGATGTACGTGTGCATGGATATGTAAGCTTATGTTGTTTAGGGTTCAGGGTTACAGGGATTGGTGTTTAGGGTTTACCGGGATAGGATGGGGATTGGGATAGAGGCATGTGATTCTGACGTTGGCTGAATTAGGAGTGAAGATTATGCACACATTTCACATGTTATATGTTTGTTATATTTGGATACAGCAAATACAGTTGACAATCGCGAGCATGACTTACTGTCGTTATAAAGGCCGGAGGAAAGAAAAACAACATAAGGCTTGCTGTTGTGTTGTACTGAATAAACTTTTGTGTGTCTTACCTCTATAAGTGGAATAATGAGATTGTAGACACATACGAAAGAACAAGGGTGACATTACTCGTGAAACAAGAAATTCAATATTTGATTCCCATTGTGAAAAATCTAAAAATTTAGAACATGGGTATACTTTTCATGTAAAGGAATGTATATACTATTTATAAAATGTTTTAATGTATTTTACCGCTGAAATTTGAAATTATGAATGTCAATCTATTATCATCATTTAGAAATGAACACCGAGACGTATTGTTACGTGTGGGTTATTCACCGTGAATATCTACTCAATCAAACGATTAAGACACAATTGCTGTTTAGACCACAGTTATCCTGGTACATCATTTTATATCTGATTTGGGTGCGTCACGACAAAACTACAGGTATTCCACCCAGTCTCGGTAGAAATCCTGCACACACGGAAGTGAACGAGCAGCCTTGTTGGGCATGATTCCCCTCGACTTCCCCATGAAAACTGAGTAATACCGCCTACATGGTACAGATATAAATAAAGACATCATCGATGTTATTTATGTTTGAGGAACCTAGGGTTGCTTATTTCCCACAGATGTATATAATCCAATATATAAAAAAATGGGCCTGAGGGAAAGGTTGAAGATAAAAGAAAAGGGTAAATATCATCCTGATGTCCCTGGTGTTTAACTCTGACGTAGATGTAATATATCCTTTGATTAACCATTTAGTTTCCATTAAATAATTATTCTCTTAAACAGTCTCTAAAACAGTCTCTTAAACATACACACAAATAATACACATTCATGACTCACCTTCCGTTGCCAGTTGTAGCTCGGAGTGACTCAAGAAAAGTACCTCTTACAAAGTTGATTACCCCATTCCTCGGAAATGGGACAAAATAGTTCCAACTACACGTACAACACACTGAAGTATAACGTCGCACTTTCCGCCCGTGAATGACACCTCTGGTTGTTTAAAAGTATCCATACCTGTACAAGAACCTGGAACAATTGTCACGTCTCCAGGTGAGTCTTCGTTAGAGGTGTACTTAAACCCTTTGACTTACTTTTGATGTTTAACGAATACTCATCCTGTGTAGGAGTATGCTGATATCCGTCTGCTGTTATCATTCCCAGAACTCCAAACTACAAAATCATTACAGAATATTTAGACTGCGACTGTGATTCCTCCATGTATTTAAAGTAAAACTGTTCATCAATTACGACTATGTTCGTTACATGGAGTACAGCAGTTGATAGTGTAACGCAGAAATAACTGGGTCATGTAATTCTCAGAAACTAGCACCTTCTCGGAAATTCTCCACGCGGCTGCAGTTACCCTGGAATCTAAAAATAGCAATGCCAGTGAGGCTGCAGAGTAGTGTAGACATAATGTATGTATGTATGTATGTATGTATGTATGTATGTATGTATGTATGTATGTATGTATGGATGGATGGATGGATGGATGGATGGATGGATGGATGCATGCATATGCATGCATGCATGCATGCATGTATGTGTGTATGCATGTAAGTATGTTTATGCGTGCGTGCGTGCGTGCTTGTGAAATAGTAATAATCACATTCAGCAATCTAGATTCAGGTATAATTTACTAACCCTAGCTGATTGGGCAAAGCCGAAAAGATATTTTGGGAGGGTAGTCACGTGACCGTCACAGGATAACTACATCAGCTTAAGGGACCGTTCATAATTTATGGCTAGAGGGGTGATGACGATTTTTATGGAGAAGCATGAGCAATGTGAATGAACCCTTAGAATTTATGCACAAAGTAAGTGCCACCCTCCCCGCATGTCATATACAAAATCAGTGACCCCCATCCCCTTCCCATCCATAATTTCTAAGCATAATTTTAAACATATTTTTATGTACAAAATTGCTGACCCTCCACCCCCAACCCCCAGTTGCCTTGGTGTGTACAAAATTGATGACCCACCCTATAAATTCATCATCATCATACACCCCCACACCCCCACACACCCACACCCACACCCCGCCATAAATTATGAACGATCCCTAATTACGGTGTGTTTTACAGCTCTAGACTGGATGTCAAATTAGATTCTTTAGCTGACAGGTATACCATTCCATAACGGAACTCTAGGAGAGAATGTCGACACAAGATCGGTATCGACAAGTAACATGTAACGTAGGATATACAGGTGTACATGCCATTGCATCAAGTTAGAGTAGGTCCACAGAGAAGATCATGATTTGAATGCAGCTCTGACAACATGAAGGATTGATACTTGCTATACCATTGCCAGAACTGTTGGTTCATTAGGCATGTGTTTCATACATTCAAGTATAACTCACACATGAAATAAGGGAACACATGAAAGTTCAAGTGTTCATTTATTTATTCCCAGAATTTCACTCACAGTGTCATACAAAGCATGCAAAGAAATTCTAGAAAAGAATAAAGGAACATTTGTACTTTCATGAGTTCCCTTTATTCGTTTCCATGAGTATATGTAGTGTGTTGCACATAGTATCTTCCATGTGGATGTCGCTGTAGCAAGTTGATGTTCTGGAAGATTACGTCAATGAACAAAGGATCGCTGAACACTGCACCATGACTGTGAATAAGACAAGAATGTTCTGGCAACCATATTTAATACAAAAATACCTATATGTTCTCAGTATATACCGAAATGCAGTTTTAATGCAAAGAAAATATACAGGAATAAAGCGACGCAACTCCATTCCTCAAAATGATTATGTGCCCTTGGGAACTACAGCTGCAAAGTATGATTGTTGTTATTATGTATTGCCAATTGCGTAGATCGATGCTCATGCTGTTGATCACTGGATTGTCTGGTCCAGAATCGATTATTTACAGACCTAAAGCTGGAATGTTGCTGAGTGCAGCATTAAACAACATCCAAACCAAACCAAATGGTCAGGTATTGTATATTTACAAAGTAACTGAGATGCCAGTTTAATCAATCTTTCTAGAGTGCAAATTACAGCCGATACTTCTTTACATGGCAAAACCGATGAGCCATTGTTATAAATAATGAAAGACCAACAACAAAAAGTGTTATATAATAAAGAGAGTTGATGTTAATGGAGATAAACTTGGACTGTATAATGTTGGTTAAAATGTAAACAAACTGTAGTCGAGTTTGTCACAGGGAATGATAGAATGTCAGAGAATAAACACTCTCAAATTTCTTTTAAATATAATCCACTAGTTTGCAATCAAACTAGGTGATGACAAACATACCCATACCATCTGTCAGTATTGCACTTTATTGACTCCACATAGGTATTCCGGGAACAAGTAATGGCTGATAACACCCCTAGCTTACCGCCAGCTAAATTTAGATTGAGTTTTGTAATCAATAGTGTTTTCTGAACTTCACTTTTAAACAAACTTACAGTTTCAGTCTTAACAGTGAAGTTGAGATCTTTACTGCATAAAGTCCCGTTCAAAGAAGAAAGATATTTCGGGTTAATATTCCGATACAGAATATGCTGAAAGGCACACGAAGTTGTGATCATATAATCCTTGACACATCTGACCTTTCTGACATTAACTCCTTGACACATCTGGTCAGAATACATTTTGATGACTCTCAAAATGATAATTAAAATCCATCATAACTTTTGATGATACGTTTCATCAAACATCTCCTTATTTAACACATCCTATCAAATAAACTTACCCTAACGACACAGAGTCTGCACAGTTTGCACGTGGTCGTGGAGCTGCATAGTGAGCTGGCGATAAATCCGACCCAGCGCCCCGGCGTTGCGCAGTGAAAA